TCCGAGGTCAAGATACAGGAAGCTCTCAGGGGATTACAGAAGGTACGTGGGGAAGGTCGCACAGGGGGAAGGTATGTGTCGCACGTGGGGAAGGTATGTGTCACACGAGGGAAGGTATGTGTCACACGGGGGGAAGGTATGTGTCACACAGGGGGAAGCGAGAGAGACAGGGGGAGATCTAGAGGGGAAGAGAGAGAGAGAGGGAGATCTAGAGGGGAAGAGAGAGAGAGGGGGAGATCTAGAGGGGAAGAGAGAGATAGGGGGAGATCTAGAGAGGAAGAGAGAAACAGGGGGAGATCTAGAGGGGAAGAGAGAAAGGGGGAGATCTAGAGGGGGGATAGAGAGGGAGCATCAGCGAGAGCTTTATTGTGTGAAAAGAGTGAAGGAGAAAGAGCGAGAGACCGCGAGCGAGCGCACCGGGGGTGGGGGGGGAGGCATTATTGATCTATGATAGGTGTCTCTGCATCCTCGCTCGCCACTAAGAAGCCGCGTTGCCATCGCTAGTGCAGCATTCGCAGCGAGAGCGGGGGGCCGAGAGGCTGCGTGACTCCGCCGTGCGTCACGACGGCACGTCCAGCTTCCGTACTCGTGCGAGCGCAATAACCACGGCAACGCTCCCCCGCGCGAGCATCCATCCATCCATCCATTCATCCATCCATCCATTCATCCACTTGACGTTGCAAAGAGAGGCTAGAAGAGACGGCTTTGTTTTTTTTGCCACTTGGCTTTTGGTGTGGAGCGGTGCCCCTCGTAGTAGTTGGAGGGACCGCTGACGGCCACAGCTTTGACTCGCGCCATAATTTGCTTGAAACGTTATAGGTGAGCGTTGTTCATAGTAGGCGAGCATTGTTCGTCGCGGGTGAACGTTGTTCGTCGCGGTTGAGAATCGTTCGTCGTGCTTGAGCGTTGTTCGTCGCGGCGGGAGAGGGGTTTTCGTCGCGTGCCAGGATTGTTCACCGAGCGTTGTTGTTCGTCGTTGCTGATCTTCGTTTGTCGTTCCGCCTCTTGCAGCAGCTGGACGAGTCGGCCGCCGCGTCCGAGGAGGGTTGCGCGTCGTCGTCGTCATCGTCGCGTCGTCCGCCGCCTGCCATGCTAGTCACCAAGTTCCCGCCGGCGCCCCCTCCCGCGCTCGTCGCGACGTGCGAGAGTGCCGAGGAGGACCAGAGCATTCTCGACGAGCACGTGTCGCGCGTGTTCGACAGCTCCGCGCAGCACACGCCCGCGCGCTCGCCCGGCCGCAGCCACTCCCCGCGCGCGCGCTCCCCGCCGGACCGTCACCGCCTGCCGCAGCCAACGACGCTGCCCCTCGCGTACAAGTACGGCGGAGGAGGCGGCGGCGGCGGCGGCGGCGGTCACCACCACCGCGCGCGCAAGGAGTTTGGTTCGATCGTGTCGTCGGACTCCGGCGTGCACGAGGACCACCACCACTACGTGCACCACCACCACTACATCCACGGCGGCGCGAAGTCGAAGCATCAGCTCGAGGTCGAAGCGATGCAGTGCAGCATGTCGGAGTACGGCCCGCCGCCGCCGCCGCTCGCCTCGTTGTCATCGTCGTCGTCGAAGCAACCCGACGCGGCGTTCCGCACGCGCAGCGAACCCGGCGGCGGCGGCGGTGGCGCCCCCCAGCGGGCGTCGCGGGAGTCTGGGAAGCGCGGCGGCGCGGGGAAGAGGTCGACGGGGTCGGCCAGCGTGGTGTTTGACAGCGGCGTGAGCATGGTGGGAGACGACGCGATGGCGCCCGTGCCCAACCTGGACATTCCGGCCAACGAGCGGTACGTGGTCGTTGTTGTTGTTGTTGTTGTTGTTGTTGTTTCTCTTCTTCTCCTTTTGCTTATTTTCCCTGTTCTACGTGCGTGCGTTTGTGCGGGCATTGGTGGGGTTTGTTGTTGTTGTTGTTGTTGTTGTTGTTGTTGTTGTTGTAGTCGTTGTTGTTGTTGTTGTTGTTGCTGGAGTTGTAGTTGTTTTTGTTGTTTTTCTTCTTCTTTCGTTTATTCTTCAACTTTCTTCTACTACTACTATCTTCTTCTCTTGCTCATTTTGTTGTTGTTGTTGTTGGCGGCTGCATTTTTCTTCTTTTTCTTCATATCCTTCCATTCTTCTTCTTCTTTTTTTTTCTTTTTTCTTCTTATCCATGTTGTTCTTCCTCTTGTACTTTTTTTCTCTTTTTCATCTTTTTCTTGTCATTCTGCATATGCCTCTGCTTCTCATTTTCTAGTTGAACTTCATCTTCTGCTTCTTCTGCTACTTAGTATTGGTTATTACACATTATTGTTGCAGTGTTGATTGTTGCATGCTCTTGTTGCAGCAAGTTGATTGTTTCACATTATTGTTGCAGCCTGTTGACTGTTGTGCATTATTGTTGCAGACTGTTGACTGTTGCGCGTCATTGTTGCAGCGTGTTGACTGTTGTGCATTATTGTTGCAGACTGTCGACTGTTGCGCGTCATTGTTGCCGCATTTTGACTGTTGCACGTTATTGTTGCAGAGTGTTCAACTGGATGATAGAGAGCGACAAGTACGGCGTGGCGGCGGGCGTACTCGGTGACACGGAGTCGCTGGAGCCGCCGCTGCCGACGCGGGACGCGGCCGTCAAGCTGAAGCGATCGCACATGAAGCCTTCCACGACGCCGGCGTCGCCATCCCCGCACAGAACCATGTGAGTGGCGTCTGCTGCTGCGCACGCGCGCGCGCTCGTTTTAACTGCCGCGTCGCACCGCCGCCGGGAGCGGCGTGGTTGCTGCCGTCCGTCTTCCTTTTACGCTGCGCGGTGGCGGCGGTGTTTCCCCGGGGGCGACGGTTGTATGGGAGTTGTTGTTTTTTTCTTCGTTTTTTTTTTGCGGTAGCTTATGGGTTTTTGGGGGGTGGGAGATGCGGGCACTGCCCCAACCCTTCGCCTTTATGCGTTCTCTTGTTCCTGGCTGGCTGCGTCGGTCGGAAGCCGCCCTGGGTGGAGTTACAATACGGTGCGCGGTTATGTGCGCTGAAACACCGATGTGTTTCTGTGTTGGCGGCGTCGGCGGTCGGCGAGTAGTTCACTTAGTTGCTATTGTTGTTGTTGATGTTGTTGTTGTTGTTGTTGTTGTTTTAATTAGCGGTTGTTGTAATTAGCGGTTGTTGTTTTTCGTTCTAGGACGCGCGGCCTCACGATGGGACCGTGGTTGAAGACGGAGGGAGTGCCACAGCCCATGCACCCCGTCCCACTGGTAAGACGCGCCTCTGTCTGTCTCCGGGCATCGTGGCGTCTCGCTGCGCCTGCACTCTTCTTAAGCAGGAAGTTTTATTTCACTTTCTGCGGGAGCGCGATCACGCGTGTTCAAGCACGCGTGTTTTGATGCCATGACCACCGCGTGCCCCCGCGCCAGATTGCGTATCCAGGCGCGGCGTGTTTTCCAGATTGCGCAACCGCCGCCCACCTGCATCATTCATTAGCCGCCGGTCTTTTATAATGAGATGATGAATATTTCAGTCTCATCTTCGCGTGGTTTCGAGGCGGAGGCTCTTACCCGGGCAGACGGCGGCTTAGCGACCGCCTTGTCGGGTGTGCACCACCTCCGCTCTCTGTTTGGTTACTCACTCTCGTGGTGCGCGCACGCCGGGTTGGAAGCCGTTGTTCCGTGTGTCTTCGTGTGATGTCGAGTGCAGCAGACGTATGTGAATCCCCGCTCGCGCGTGCGTGTTAAAAGAGTTAAAGATCTGCGGCAAAGCTCGCGCGAGGAAATCCGCGTCCCTCTCCTAGCGGCGCGCTCTAGTGGTACCGATGAGTTCGGCGCGCCAAGGAGCGTCGGCGTCGGCGCGCTACGGAGCGGACGCGCTCCTGCGAAGGTAACGTACCGCATTCGCTAATGCTCACTTGTCGCGTTTGTTCTGTCACCAGGAGTCGCCGGGTATCGCGGGGGCGCCGCTGAGCGCGGACGGCACCGTGGAGGAAGCGAAGAAGAGACTAGAGGACGAGACGAAGGCAAAGATCAAATCGAGGTTAGCGCGCGCGAGCGATGGTCGTCGTCGCAAACGATCCTTATTATTATTAAATCTTTATTGCATGTAATTCAGATACAAATACGTGTACTGACGACAGTTTTTTTTCATGGAGAAAAAATCTGATAAAAGCAATAGTGTTGAGTAGTTAAAATGATAAAATTTCTGACTGATGCAGTACAATACAATGCTGTACAACATGAAGGGAAAATATCTCTTTTCTATCTCGCTTCTTGGATGTTACACTTGCGATATGCGTCGTTTGCGTCATACGCGCGCGCGTTCATGGTGGCGGTTGTCGTCTGCCGGTGCGACACGACGAGTCGGGGGGGGGGGGGGCGTTGTCGGAAACGAATATGGTCTGGTCGTTAGTCTTAGCGTTAGGTTTTCCTCGAAGAATTGTGTACGCTACGTGAAAAAACTCGTAACTTTCATGTTGAAACTGACGTTAAGACTAATGTGAAGAGTAATTTTGTTTCTGACAGCGCGCTCTTTTGTTCTATCTTGCTTCTCAAAGTCGCGGCGCATCGTTTGCGTTGAACGAGATGATTCATGATTTCTGTTTTTTGTCGGCGTGTTTCGTTTTCGCCATTCTCATTTTACTGAAATGTAGTGTCGTGTCGTGAGTCCTATCTTCAACAAGATGGCTTAATAACACCCACTCACACTCGATCATCTCCCTCCGTCCCTCCCCATCCTCCCTCCCCATCCTCGACAAGATGGCTTCCTAACACCCAATCACCCGCTCATCTCCCCCCGCTTTCCTCAACAAGATGGCTTCCTTTTGCTGACGCCTTCATCTCCGCTTGCAAGAAGAAGAAGAAGAAGAAGTGCTCATGGTTCAACCCCTGCACCCTGTTCCCCACATTCTACCTCCCTCCCCATCCTCAACGAAATGGTTTCCCAACCTGTGCTCACGCTCGCTAATCTCTCCATTCGCTTGCAGCAAGAAGAAGAAGACTGCGGCAGCAGGGGGCAGCACTTCGAGCAGCACGTCGTCTCAGTCGGCCGGCGACTTCACCGTCATCGGCTACTACTTCTGCGGCGACCCCGTTCCCTACCGCACGAAGCTCGCGGGCAAGCGCGTCACCCTCAAACAGTTCAAGGGCCTCATCACGAAGAAAGGAACCTACAAGTAAGTAGCGAGGTCGGAGAGGGCGAGGTGGGGAGGGAGAGAGAGATAAGGTGGGGGTGGGGAGGGGGGGAGGGAGAGAGAGATAAGGTGGGAAGAGGGGAGGGGGAGGGAGAGAGAGATAAGGTGGGAGGTGGGGAGGAGAGAGAGATAAGGTGGGGTGGGGGAGAGAGAGGAAGGGGGAGGTGAGATGGGAGAGAAAGAGAAAGGGGGATGGAGAGAGAAGGGGGATGTGGAGGGGAGAGAGGGAAAGGAGGATGTGGAGGGGAGAGAGGGAAAGGGGG